AGAGGGCAGAGAGACCTGCCGCTTTGGATGCTGGGTCCTATGGCCAGAAATACAGATCCACAGGGTCCAGGAGCCTCTTGACCCCCTGGCTTTTCTATCCGTTTTTCTTGTGAGGGCTTCCAGGACTTATCTACAGAGAACAGGAATTTGTGGTCTCAGAAGGCCTGTGAGTAAGGTCAGCAACAGGCTCCATAGACAGTGTTGATGATGGCTGGCTGATTCCATTTCCCCAAAGTGCGTATCTGCCGAGGGCCCACTGTTGAACCGTTTCTAATTTCTGTCTCATCTAACATTAAATAACACTCTCTGTGTCCCCACTGCCTGCCCCCTGCCCAGCCTTCAATTCTCTGCCCCTGGCAGCTCTTAGGACTCCTGCTTTCTATACCCCTGAGGATGAGGGACCTGAAAAGCTTTTCCCACCTCCAGTGGCACCCTCAAAGTGTGAAGAGCAGACATCAGTCACTGCAGAGCTGTGGCGAGGGACCTGGATTCCACAGTACACATTCAGCCCCTGATGACCCTGGTATAGCAGGTGGCAGTAGGAGTGAGAGGACAAGTGTAATTGACCATAGATGTCTAGGCCAGGCTGAGCAGGAGGGTGGTTTGGGCTGATCCAGGGACACCACAGAGTCTGGGTAGGCAGAGAACCAGTCCCACCATCCCTCCAGGTCTCAGGCTATCACTCCAAGAGAGCCCCCGGCCAACAGTGGGAAGTCAAGGAGCAGGAGCATCCCCAGATGAGCTGCAGGTCATGGAAAGGAGGACCACACTTTCTACTGGCTACAGAGGCAGATGTTTGGTGGTTGGAGGGAGTGACACTTGCCGGGGAGGGGAAGCAACTGCCCATTTGCTCCATCGTCCTTCCCCAGTTCTGCTTTCCATCACAGGGAACCACATCTCTCAAGACTCTATGGCTTCCAGGTGGGATTGGCACCTGCAAAAGATAGGAAATAAGAGGAAAGAACAGAGAGGAATCCATATTCCACTCACCATGGTACTGCTCCAGCAGCTGTGTCCCGACTTGTGAGTACCTTCTTTCTGGGGCACTTTGCCAACAGTCCCAGCCTCTGGGATCTGGGGACAGCCCTTTCTTCTGTAGTCCTCCTTGCCTTGGGCAAGGCAGTGCATCCTATTATCACTAATCTCCAGGTGCGCCCTCCGATCAGCATTTCCACCACCTGTCATCACCCTGAAGTCCTCTCAAGAGTCTAGAACAGCACCTTCCCCCCGTGTAATGTGGGAATTGGACCACCTGGATCAGTAGATCTGGGGAGTCTGCATTTCCAAAAAGCTCCAGGTGACACTGAAGTGACCAGTCCTTGGATGACACTTTGAGATGTAAGGACCAAGGAGGTTTTGATTTTCCTGATACAACAGTCACTCTGCTAGGCAGTGTGTACTGCCTAGGTTACAAAAGTGTACAAAACAGACCTGTCTGCAGTTAAAGAAGAGAGACTGACATACTTGCAAATGACATGGATGATAAGTGCTCTAAAAGACAGGGAGGAGTATGCGAACAGCCTGGGTCCTCAGGACATCTTCCTCGAGGACCTTGATGAGGCATGTTTGAACTGAGACCTAGAACATGGATGGGTGTTTTATTCAGATTTTTATTTCCCACTGTGACCACAAGACCTGACAAGAGCAATTTTAGAGGAAGAAAAATTATTTAGGGCTCACGGTTTCATAGGTCTCAATCCACAGATAACTGGCTCCATTGCTTTGGGTCCAAGATTGAGGCAGAACATCATGGGGGACGACTATGGTGAAAGAAGGAAGCTGACCTCAAGAAGGACAAAATAAGCCCCAAAGGTACACCTCAGCTACCCACCTCCAGCCATACCCTACCTGTCTATGGTCATCAGCCAATTAATCCATTCAAGCAGATTAATGCACTGATTAGGTTAAGGCCCTTCTAGCCCAATCATTGTATCTCTAAATTTTCTTGCATTGTACCACACATGAGCTTTGGGGGGACACCTCACATCTAAACCATAACAGTAAGGTTTTGGGAGTAGCATGTGAGCAGCAGCTAGGTGACCAGAGGGACAGTGTGCTGTACTTGTCCAAGAGGAGGCCAGTCTGGTTGCCAGGCACCACAGTTAGCAGATTCAATGGCTGCCCCTGACCTGCACTCCCCATGTGATCAGGCCCCCCCTCCCCCACAGCTTACATCCATCTTCCAGTAATGTCCCCAGGTACTGGCAGCTGATGCTTTCAGGCACCTCCCTGCCCAGCTGGCAGACACACCCAGTCTGCCTGGCGCCTGAGCTTGGCTGTTGAGTCCTCCCAGACAAAACTACTCTGGAGCATCATTAGAAAAGGCAGTAGTAAGAGGCAGGTCCTTGCATCTATACACAGCCCTGTGGTGTGACAGCAGCCTAGCCACTCACACAGTCACTGAGAGAGGGACAACATGCTGCTTTTTGCCATCTATTCATGCTTTTGTCTCCCCAATAAAACTCACTTTTTTTTTTCTTGAGATGGGATCTCGCTATATTACCCAAGCTGGTCTTGAACTCATGAGCTCAAAGGATCCTCCTATGTCAACCTCTTATGTAGCTGGGACTACAGATGCATGCCACCAGGACAGTTAAAACCCACTTCTTATCCCTTTATAAGGTAATGTTGTAGAACTTTCCTTTATCCCCTTCATTTCATTAGCTCTAATTCAGAAGTCATCAAAGGGTTAAGCCTAGGTTTATCTGATTGGAATTGATTTTTCTAAGACTTTTAGGGCTATGGCATGAGGAATGCGATGTAAGAAGAAGTACAAGAGAAAAGTGGGGAGCCAGGAAGGCCAGGGGTCTCTGGGGCTAGAAAGCACCAGGAACCAGCAGCTGGCATTGAGCATGGAGAACAGCCTGCCCTGTGGGACTGGTCCAGGGAGAGGGAGAGCAGGTTACCTCTGGAGGAGTGGACTGTAGCTAGGGTGGGAACGTGAGGGCTTGAGGACCTCTCCCGATTATACCTGTGCTGAGATTCTTAAATGGCACAGGCCCATGGAACTGTCAACAGGGCAGCCAGGAGGGACTGTAAGAGGCTGGGTCTCACACTGAGCCAAGTATAAGGAGAGTTCCAAGAGGTAGCATGGAGAAAAGAGGTGCTCAGGGGAAGGGAGCACAGCTGTGTTCCTGGGAGAGTAGGAGCTGCCTAGTCCAAGGAGGGCTGTAGAAGGTCAGTGGTTCCCCACCTCAGGCCATGGTTTGTAGTCAGGACAGCCTGGGCAGTGGTGGCCACAAGGGACTATTGGAGGTGGAGACTGCTTTCCTGGCTGAGTTAGACAGCAGGCTCTGGGCAGGAGATCTTCTGGGAGGGTGTGGGGTGCAGAGGGTCATGGTAGGGGACTCTCCCTAAAGGGATAGGAGTATGAGGGGACCTCAGTTTTGCCTGTGAGAGCTGCTGTGCTTCCATTATGGAGAAAGGTCACTATCAAAGGAACTGTGGGCTTCTGAAGGCCCATGTGTGGGGCATTCAATTCAATTGAAGTGTTGCTTTGAGGCCTCTGGTGCCTCCGGGTATGTGGACTCCTTCCTCACTCATCCACAGGACAAACATATTTTCCCTGTACCACCCTCAAACCCCTGTGCCAGCTACATCATCAGCATTCTTTCTTAATTTGCAGTATATAAACAGGACTTTGTGGGACTTTTTGTCAACTCAGAATTTGCTCCCAGCTGAGAGGAGTTGTTAAATCCACATTCAAAAGCATGGCATGTCCACTTAGAGCTTAAAGACAGAAAGCAAAGCCAGTCTTCAGCCTTATCCACCACCACCCAGGGGAGCTTCTGTGAGCTTGAAATGGAAAGGCCTGAGGAACAAATTCATCTGAGCTGCTGGTTGGGGAGCTGAGTGAGGGTGTTCCACCCTCTATCCCAAATCTTGGGCTCTAGAACAACTGTTTGTAAATATGGGGGGACTCCCAGAAGAGGAGTTGATATATCTTTCCATTCCAGTGGCCCACAAATCTCACTGTACCTCAGGACCCAGTCCCCAAGTAGAATGTACCTGGAAGCCCAGCAGACCATGCCCCTGTGTCAGCCTCTCTGGAACACGGGCTGAGCAGGCTGCCCTGGAGACAATGTGCTCAGATTATAGGAGAGGGGCCCATCACTTTCAGCTCCTGCTGCCTCCTCCAAGGGGGCAAAGAGCAGGCTGGGATACCCATCACTACCTCTGAAAGGCAGTAGACTAGGCTTGTAGGCCTGGGTGAATTCTCTGGTTTCTTTTATCTAATTTTGTGTGTTTATTTTTATTTTTATACTTCAATTAAAATATTTATAGATATATTAAAAAAAAGTATAAACATAAAATGTCTCATGATCTGCTCTCACCCTGACCATACTAATCTCATCTCATCCTTAGTTTCTTTGTCTGCGGATGGGGTAAGCAGTCTTGGCTCTGTGCATGGTGGTTGTGAAGATGCCGTGGGCCAGATTTTGGGATAGGGCCACATCCAGGTTCACCGTCCCACAGATATCCATGGGGTTCCTGGGATGGCAGAGGCTGTTCTTTTTGTTTAGTTATAGGTGGACACAATATCTTTATTTTATTTTTATGTGGTGCTGAGGTTTGAACCCAATGCCTCATGCATGCTAGGTGAGCGCTCTACATCTGAACCACAACCCCAGCCCCAGAGGCTATTCTTGATGAGCTCAGGGAAGAAAGAAGGCAGGACATATTTAGAGGGGAAGACAAAGTCTTGTGCCAGTGTCCCAGAGCAGAGCTTAGCAATGTCCCCTGAAGCATGTACACAATCACACATACCCTTTCTCTCAGGCATACACACATTCATTTCTGCCATCATCAGACCCTGGTGGATAGACACCCAGGGACCTGCATCTGAAGGAGCCAGAAGCAAGCAGCAACTGAGCATGTGCAGCCCCCAGCACTGCTACTTAAAATGGGGAGGGACCCTGTGGCTGTGAGTGGCTGTATCTGTGATACTCATTTCTTTGCACTTCGCTGGACACTGAGCAGCCCCCAGAGCAGCTCTGGCTGTGCCGGCACTGAATGCGGGAGGAGCCAGCAGGTGGAACGCGCAGCAGTGCCAAGGATGGAGGAAAGCTAGGAGGCTGGGCACCACTAAAGTTCTAGCTCCCCATGCCCTTGACTTCTCTGTGAGATCAAACAAGGACCTCAGGATGAACACTACTTCAGGGTCAGTCTCACCAGGCCCAGCCCAGGAGCCCACTTTGGGGGCCACCTCAGCTCCACCCAGCATGTGGGACAGCACCCAGAGCAGTGTCTCCAGCCTGGCCCAGCTTCTACCTGCCAGCCCTACGGTAAGCCCGAGGAGCTTGTGCATGCACAGAGCCTTCCCTCCCCACTTCCTACACCTCCTCAAGTGTTTTGACAGGGATATAGGAAAGGTCTGAGTTCTGCTGTGGGACTTTGGTCATGTCACCAGACCTCTCTGAGCTTGTCCTACACAAATTGGCTGAGAGGAGGGTACAATGTTCTCTCCTGCAGAGAGCATTAAAGAAACACAAAAGGGGCTGGGGTTGTGACTCAGTGGTAGAACGTTTGCCTACCATGTGTGAGGCACTGGGTTTGATTCTCAGCACTGATTGTAAGTAAATAAAATACAGGTTAATTGACAACTAAAAAGAAAAAGAACCACAAAGGCCAACCCTGACCTGCTTGTGGCTTGTATCCCCTTCTTCCAGAAGTTGGCCAGATGCCCTGTGGAGCCTTTCAGAGGGGAAGGCATATCCGGGGCCTCAGGATTTGTTCAGGCTACAGTGGAATGTTGGGCAGGAGAGAGAGCAGATCAATCTTCTTCCTGGAAAGGGAATGGATAGGAGAGGTTTTTAAATTCTTTGTACTAAATTCAGAGGGTAATGACCTCTCTGCTGTGACTCTGGGAGACCCACTTCATCTTTGCAAAGGAAATTCCTTCCTCTTCTCTCTTGCCAGGCATCAAGATCAGCCCTACCCAGCTATGGTATGAGGGAATGCAACTTCTCCTTTGAACCTTGATAGCGGTGCCCCTTCATCTGGGAGGGACAACCTAGGAGATGGCTCTGCCTTCTTAAGGTCATCCAAGTCATATCCCTGATTATCGGGCACCTGTCTGTCTGACCAGTCTCCAACAAGTTGCCTAAGCCCACACACAGAAGCCTCACACCTATGGGTTCAGGTTTAGGAAGAACCGCATTTCCATTCCAATTTTGGCCACTAGCTGGCTGTATGGACAAGTGGCTTTGCCATTCTGTACCTCAATTTTTCTACCTGCCCTTCTGGGAACCCTCTTCCTTTTCAGAGACATTTGAAGGTGATGGGAGATAATGTGTGACCTTCATTTCTCTGTCTCTTCATAGGCAACTGGGGCTCAGACTGCTGCCCGGATCCCCTTCCCCACAGTTGATGTTCCAGATCATGCTCACTATACCCTGGGCACGGTGATCCTGCTGGTGGGGCTCACGGGGATGATGGGCAATCTGACAGTCATCTATACGTTCTGCAGGTACCTGATTGGTGGAACTGGATCCAGGGCAAGAAGGGTGACCAGAACACAAGGACCAGAACATTGCCCAGCTCTGCCCAGGGTGCTGTTGAGGCTAGCTGGGGGGCCACGGCCAAGCCTTCAATGATCTCAGGTTCCAGGCTTCAATCTTTAAGCTCAGAAAAGGGGGAAAATTAGTCCAAGTAAACTTGAATGGCATATGTCAATTGGGCCCCAGGAATGTCATCTGTTACCCCTAGAATATTGGGTGTCTGACCACTCTGCCCTGCTTTCAGATCACCTCTGCCATCCTGCCCCAGGGGACATCCTCAAGAGCAGCCTTGGGCACAGGATGCTGAGTCCTCAAGCCACTTGGCAACCACCATAGGCTTCTCTCAACCTGTCCTGCTGGCAGGCCAGTGGAGAAGTGAACACAAATAGTCAGTCCCTGACTCCCCACCAACTTATAAAAGGACAGAGAAAGCCATTTATCCCCTTTGACCTCATTTTTTATTATTATCTGTAAATGGAGTTGTGACTTCCTCCATGGTGTCCAATGAAGATGAAGTAGGTTTGTGTTTGTGCATTGCCCTGCAAAGGAGTCTTTGAATCCTGACTGTGCACTTACTGAATGTCATGATTGGGAGCAAGTCACTTCATGAGTTAGGGCCTCAGTGCTCTCCTCTGGAAAATGGGAATCATGATGCATCCCTCAGTGGTAGATGCAAAGACAGATGGTGTCAGGAGACAAGGTTTGTGAAGGTGGCTGGCCTGGGTTCACAGTCCTCTGCCCTTTGCCATCATGAGGATGAGAGCAACAGAGACAGCTGTACCCAGCAAGGCCTGGGCCAGGCAGGACATTGGAAGAAGGACAAGGAAGGAGCATGAGTTCATGGAAGGCATGGGAGGAGGAGCCTGGGAAGAAGCCACTGGGGAGACCAGGGCCTGGAGAGGGTTGTCTAAGGAGAAACTGTGAGTCACACAGAGGGAATCCAGAGGCTGAGAAGAGGAAATGGATGTGACCTGAGAACTGGCCTCCCCTGGGCGATATAGGAGTTTTGGAGAGAAGTTCTGAGGGAGCTGCCTTGGGGTCCCTCTCAGCTGGCACTGAGGGGTCAACTGCTCCTCAGACGGTGCCTGTTGGACAGAGGGCTAGGAGTGTGGCCCAGCAGCACGGCCTGTCTGCATGTACATGTGTGTGTGTGTGTGTGTGTGTGTAGTTGAGGGGTGATGGAAGCTCCTCACAACTCTGGAGGTATTAGGAAACACCCCCTAACCACTTCCAACCCTCACAGGAGCAGAAGCCTCCGGACACCTGCCAACATGTTTATTATCAACCTCGCTGTCAGTGACTTCCTCATGTCCTCCACCCAGGCCCCCATCTTCTTCGCCAGCAGTCTCTATAAGCGGTGGCTCTTTGGGGAGGCAGGTAGACACCTGGGGCTCCCTTTGGCTGGAGGGAGGGGGAGGGGTTTGGCATGGGGTTGCCCACTGGGGAGAGTGACCCAGAAGAGGCGATTCCATTCCTCCTGGGTAGAGTGAGCAGCTGCCCTCAATTCCATGAGTGAGTGAGAAGGGAAGATCAGGTTCTAGTCCTGAGTCCTCTGCCAGCCTCAGTCAGATGTGGATGGTAGACAGGGTGGAGAAGGCTCAGGCCTGGTTTCCTGAGAGGTCAGAGAAGGAGCCAAGTTCATCCCATCCCCAATGCCTCCCTCCACTTGGGTACCTGATTGAATCCCTCCCCCAAGGACTTAGGGAAGAGGGCTGTGCCCACAGGTTGTGAGTTCTATGCCTTCTGTGGGGCTCTCTTTGGCATCTCCTCTATGATAACCCTGACGGCCATCGCCTTGGACCGCTACCTGGTGATCACACGCCCCCTGGCTACCATTGGGATGGCATCCAAGAAGAGGGCAGCATTTTTCCTGCTGGGTGTCTGGTTCTATGCCCTGGCCTGGAGTCTGCCACCCTTTTTTGGCTGGAGTAAGTGTTCTGGTAGAATTTGGGGAGGGGCAGATAGACTGGGAGAGGGGTTAAAGGGAGGTGGGTAAACTTGGGTCAATCAACTGACAGGGGGGACCCAGGGACCTCCTGAGCCCCAAGTCAGATGGGCATTCAGGGGCATCAATCACTAGCAGCAGGGGAGACTGAGGGCACTCTGTTAGGGGCCAGAGGATCACCTGGACAGTCTGTCCCCAAATTCAGGTGTTCTTGAATGTGTAATACCAAGTTTGCAGTGAGTCAGACTAGGCAGGGACTGGAGTGCGAACCTCAGTGGGCAGGAGGGTAAGCAGTAAGGCTCTAGCCCTTGTGGGACAGAGATCAGTGAGCATGACCCTGGAACTGGAGTGAGGCCTCTGCTACAGTCTAGCAAAAATGAGCAGCTGTGGGCTTTGGGCTTTGCCAGCTGTCCCCTGAGCTGGTACCCCTGCCAGAATCACCTTGGGAAGGTCCCTCCACATCCCCCAATTGCCACAGGCTTCCTCACTGCACTGGACAGGGTAGAGGCCCAAATATCACATATGAAGCCCTTGATGGACAAGGAGTCTAGGCAGTGCCACTGAGGAGGCTGAGCACCTGTCCCGCTCACAGGCGCCTATGTGCCTGAGGGGCTGCTGACATCCTGCTCCTGGGACTACATGACCTTCACGCCCTCTGTGCGTGCCTACACCATGCTGCTCGTCTGCTTCGTGTTCTTCCTACCCCTGTTTGTCATCATCTACTGCTACATCTTCATCTTCAGGGCCATCCGGGAGACAGGCCGGTAAGTGACAGCTAACAGAGACCCTGCCCCACCCTCCCGGGTAGTCCCAGCTACAGGTATGCTAACGTGTGCTTATTGGGTGGGGGCACCTAGAAAAAACTCCAGAGACAAGGTTTATGAGGAGGGGATTTTAGGCATGTCTGAGGGGGTAGAGAAGGTTCTACCCCAGGTAGAACCTCAAAAAGGCTGGTGAGAATCAGGGTAATGAGAATTTTCTGGAAGGGATAACCCCCTTCCAAGTGCCCCAGGGATGGTCCAGGGAAGCTCCTGACAGCATTCATGATTCTAGTACTCACTGCAACTGGAATGGGGTCAGTTCAAGAATACACACCCTTCCCAGGGCCTGTGAGGGCTGTGGCGAGTCCCCACGACGGCGGCGGCAGTGGCAGAGGATGCAGAGTGAGTGGAAGGTGGCCAAGATCGCGCTGCTGGTCATCCTTCTCTTCATAGTCTCCTGGGCCCCCTACTCCACTGTGGCCCTGGTGGCCTTTGCTGGGTGAGCAGGAGCTAAGGGGTTGGGGCAGGGGTTGAAGGTGTGGGAAGGGAAAGGGACCCCTGGATGGCCTCTCCCTTCAAGCCCAGCCTGAGCCAGCCATCCTCACACCCTAAGTCCAGCCTCCAAGTCTTATTCTTTTCCCAACCAAGGGACTCTACCCAGCTCCAAGGCATATGTTGGAGGAACTCTGGGCCACCTCTAGATTCAGCCAGAGGGCCTGCCAATCCCCTTGGGAACATGCAGCTCTCCTTGAGCTTCTGGTCTCCTCTACCTGGGCTGTGGGCATCCTACTTGAATCCCTAAGAGGTGCCCTATAGTCCTTTTTAACTAGAGTCTGGGACTTTAGCATCTATAGTAGCATGAGTATAGGCTAGACTTCAGAAACACTTTTGTGACATGGAGAGTTATGAAACCTTGGAAGTGTTCATCTATGGACCTTCTTGTGTATGGATGGCCTGGTCCCTTCGAAGAGCCTACTGTGAGTTTTCTCTAAGAAAGACAGGAGAGCCAGGTGTAAGGGTGCATGCCTGTAATCCCAGTAGCTCAGGAGGCTGAGTCAGGAGAATCGCAAGTTCAAAGCCAGCCTCAGCAACTTAGAGAGGCCCTAAGCAACTTAGTGAGACCCTGTCTCAAACTAAAAATTATTTTTTTTTAAGAAAGGGCTGGGGGGCTGGGGTTGTAGCTCAGTGGTAGAGTGCTTGCTTAGCACACATGAGGCCCTAGGTTCAATCCTCAGCACCACATAAAAATAAATAAATAAAAATAAAGATATTGTGTCCATCTACAACTAAAAAAAATATTTTAAAAAGAAAAAGAAAGGGCTGGAGATCTAACTCAGTGTTTAAGTGCCCCTAGGTTCAATCCCCAGAACAAAAAAAAAAAAAAAGAAGGAGGAGCAGGAACAGAAGGAGGAGGAGGAAAGATAGGAGAGCAAGTGGGCATCAGGGTGAGGCTGGGGTATGGGAAGAGCTGTGTAGATGGGTCAATGGAAAGCACCAGGAGATATTGTCAGCAGCACAGGCTCTAAGATAGTGGGACTTGGTGAATCATCCCCAGCTAACCCTGGCATATCTTTCTCCCAGAGACCCATCCTCAACCATCCCTACTAGCTTCCCCCCTGTCCACTTTAGTCCAGAATTCTCCCTGATACAGGGCTGACCCAGCTGTATTGGTTTGGGGTGGGCTAGGGTTTGGGCCTTGGCAAGATCTGACTCAGAGGAAGAAGATTGATGGGGGAAAACCAACTGGGGAGAAGGATGGAGGGCCACATATCTTCTCTGTCCTAGGTATGCGCACCTCCTGACTCCCTACATGAGCTCAGTGCCGGCCGTTATCGCCAAGGCCTCTGCCATCCACAACCCCATCATTTATGCTATCATCCACCCCAAGTACAGGTATGGCCCTTCTCCAGGCCTCCAGGGCCCCACCTATGGGCATGGAAGGCCTGGGCCTGCAGATGCAGCCGAAGTCTGTCATCTGTCTTGTCTCTTGTATGTACTTTGGGTGGGGGCCGTGAGCTGCCAGGAGCAGACAACAACAGTGGGTGGGGTCTGGAGTTGGTATGACCCTCTCCTATCTCAGTTTCCAAGAGGGCTGTTTGGAGGAATATCAAGTCTTCTTGGGCAGTGTCCAATCCTAATTAGGGGGTTGAGCTTACCTCATTGGAGCTGGGTCATAAGGCATCTAGGATGGCAACTCAACATTGCTGTCCCTGTTAAGACAAGACCCCAGACACAAGTGCCTTAAGAGAACCAAGCAGGGAGCACTTGGCTTCACCTCAAGAGCTCTGGCAGGGTCTTTGGGGCGGTGGTGGCCAGTTCATACTCTGCTATGAGCAATGAGGCACCTTTTCTATGGGACTTTCAGTGTTTCTTTTAGCCTGGAAGTTTCTATCACACAGCTCCCTCTGAAAAAGTGAACTGCAAGACCCAACTGGTCCATCCTAAGCACTCAGGAGTGTCCCTGATCCCCACTTTCGGAGATATGGCTTAAGCCAGCCACATGTGGGCTGGAACCAACATTCACCTGAATGAACCTGTTACTCTAAGTCTCTCTTTCCACACCTACCACCCCACAGTCTGTCTATCCATCCCACCATTCTGTAAGCCCACTGGTCTCCTTCTCCCAGCCTCTGTCTGCCTCATCATTCAGCTTCTGTCTGTCCATGTTCATTGCCTCCCATGACTCCCAGTGACTGCCTGTCTGTTCCCATCACCCAGCATCTGTTTATCCACCAACCTTAGCCATGTTTCAGTCTGTCTGTCCTTCCCTTACCTCTTGTGTCCCTAACCAGATGTGTGGCCCTGCAGGATGGCCATCTCCCAGAACCTGCCCTTCCTGAAGAAGCTGCTAGGTGTGTCCAGCCAGCATGGCCGCCCATCCCTCAGCTACCGCTCTACCCACCGCTCCACTCTGATCAGCCATGCCTCCGAAGTCAGCTGGATCTCTGGACAGAGGCGCCAGGAGTCCCTGGGCTCTGAGAATGAGGTGGTAAGGATGCTGAACACTAGCTGGCTGGCACCTTACCATCCCTTCCTCTACCAGCCCTAGGGCTCTGGGAAGGCCACATGCCCTGGCAGAGCTGCCACTGAGACTGAGAGACCTCCAGTACATCATCTTCCAAGATAGGCAGGGTCACTGGGGCCAGGGAAGGGATGGGCTGACCTGAGTTGTCTTGGCAGCAAGTCTAGTCTGAACACTGGTCTTCCAACTCCAAGAGGTCTCTTTTTCCATGCTGTCAAGACTGAAAAGATTAGTATTTGGGGCTCTAAATAGGCATCTAGAGACAAAGCCAGCTCAGAGGCCTCATTCCTCAGCATTAAGTCCCCTCACCCTGGGCACCTTGAAGAGCCACAGGAAAGGGAAGGAGGAGCATTGGCCGTGGAGTCAGGGAACTGACCTGGAGATTGAGCTTACCTCATCCTCGCGATGTGAGCCTGGGCCAGTCCCTCACCCCTCTGAGCCTCTGCATCCTCCCTGGAAAGGGTGAATAGTCTTTCTATTCACAGTGACTAGAAGATTGTGGTGTGCCCATATCTGGGTGCTGATTCGACGGTTAATGTTGGTCTTTGGAGCCTCCAGCCCATCAGCCCTCCCCAGGGCCTGGATCTGTGGGAGCCCTAAATGTTGCCAGGAGAGCTCCCCAAGGCTCTAGCCAGGTTCCTCCATCCTTCTCCTCCAGGGCCCACTGTGGCTCTCACCAAGAACTGCTATGGACAGACTTTAGATGGACAGTGATCTCCCTCCACTGTCCCATCTTTGAGGGTCTCTATTAAGGAGATGAAGGAGGAGTTGTCAGGGTCCCTTCCCTGAACCATTGTAGTGAAGAATAAATAAGTCTAATTTATTAACAGAGGCCTAGACCCTCATGAAGACCACCCATTCACCCCCAAATCTGAACACCAACATGCTTGGGAAGGTGTGTGTGTGTAAGTGCGTGCCAGCACACGCCCACACTTAGCACAGGCACACGTAGTTTGCTATCAATATGTGTAGATATGTTTGAATATGTGTGGGGAAGGTCAAGAAGAACCTGAGAGGAACAGGGGAGGGACAAGATGCAGAGTGTCCTTCTCACCTCACAGTTGCTCTCCCTCTTCCCCCAGGGCTGGACAGACACGGAGGCAGCAGCTGCTTGGGGGGCTGCCCAGCAAATGAATGGATGGTCTCTCTGTGGTCAGATCCTGGAGGATGAGGAAGCCACAGCCCCTTCCAGGTCCCAAGGACAGGAAGCTGAGACTTTCAGGAAGGTGATTGGGTATAGTACCTGCCAATCTGTAAAGATGTGGGAAGTAGAGACAAGTGAATGGCCTGGAAGGGGGACTTGTTCTTATGGGCAGGGCCAATGCCCTGTGGGAATCACCCACCCCTACCCCATACACCCCAGTTTTCCCCTTGCCTGCTAGGGGGTCTCCGTGACTCCAGGACTTCCTGAGCAGGGTCTGTATGGTCTGTGACTATTCTTGGGTGTGTCTGGGTAACTGTCTATGTACACATTTAGCAGGCGGTGCTGTTGGCTATGTAGTGCCATGACGGACATATGCACACGTGTATATAAATGCATATATCCATGAAGGTATGTGGTCTGCAGCCGGCAGAGCACAACTTGTGCATATGTGTGACCATGTGCCCAGCATATGCTTTCTGTCACTGTGACACCTCAGGACACACAACTGAACGTGTCCCCATGTGTCTTCTGTGTTTGCGTGTGACTGAGTGTGGATGGTATGCATCTCTCTGTGTGATTTCAAGACTGGACATACCTGGGGGGAGAGGCTACAAGCTGTGTATGTGCTCACCACAAACGCCCTGAGATCAGGATGTCACCCAGAATACTTGTGGCTATTAAAAGAAGGCCAGCTGTCAGCCCAAGTGCCTATGGAACGGAATGTCGATGGCGATTAGAGAAGGCCATATTCTGGAACGTTGGAAATTCCGTTTGCACAGGCGCCCTGGGCAGCCCCTCCTCCCTCAGCTGACAGCTCCCTGCCCTGCCCTTCTCTCACCCCCTTCTCTCAACCCACCAGTTGACTCCTGGGCACTCTCGGGCTTCTCTAGTCAGTCCAAGACCTCAGATGCATTCCTGCCTGCCGTTCTCATGTGGCTTCTCTATGTGATTATGAGAGGGGAGCCCAGGGCTACTCTCTGCAGTTGGGGAGCCCCTGTCTTTCCCAGCACTCTCCTGAGAAGCACCCCACCCTGTTATAGAGCTCAAGCACTGTGTATAACCATGGAGACAGAACAAAAGCCTAGCAGTGACCCCCAGGCTGGCCAGGCAGTAATGAAAGACACAGTTCCCATCCTGGGTGGAGACTGGGCTGGGCTGGGGCGCTGGGCACGGAGAGCTGGCCATCAGCAGTCACCAGACACGCGTGATAAGTGCTGCCATGGAGTTATGAGCACGCAGTGTGCTGAGAGCAGAGACAGGTCCCTGAGGCTCCCCAGGGAAGGTGAAGGTGAAATAGGGATCTCCAGCCTGGGGGTAGGGAGGGAGCTCTGTGCCATCCTGGTCAAGGAAACAGCCTTGACCTCCTGTGTGAAGGCAGGAGGATGCATGGGAGGGATTCAGTGTGTCTTGGGAAAGGATAGTTCTTTGTGACCCTAGAACCAGCCAGAGAGACCCTGCAGATGGCAGAGGGGATGTAGGAGAAGGGAAAAGTGGCAGGAAGTGGTAGGAATAGAGGTCTGCGGGGTCCCTAAATCTGCCCCTAGGAGACAAGAAACCCAGCGAGGGGCGTGGTCACTTTGCAGGGTAGCCAGGACCCTCCACAAAGTCCCGAAAGGGTGGAATTGAGTGGAGTGAGCCTGGAGGGTGAAGCTTCGGAGGAAGCCACAAGGCAGGCAAGCAGCGACTCCGAGCAGCAGGGGTGACAGGAGCTGCCAGAGCCCACACATATGCAGGAGGAGTGCTCAGAAGGGAGAAATTGAAGGGTGAGAGTGGGGAGGAACCCAGTCCAAACCCCAGGAGCCTGAGCCTGGAGGATATCCTGCAGACAGCCTTAGACTTTTCTGCTCTTTCTCTGAGATGTGGTCCTTGAGAAGGCCCAACCCCAAACTGGAATGCAACCTGGCCCTTCCACTCAACCTCCTGCACCTTTCAGTGACACAGAGGATCATTGGGAGACTGTTCCCCTTAGGAGGCTTCTCGGGCTAAACAGATGTTTGCTGTTTGTTTTCAGACCAAGGGGCAGCTCCCCAGCCTGTGCTCCAGGATGTAGGACGCCCATTGGTTCTCCCTTTCTTCTGGGACGTGTCTGGCCCTGTCACACCCCCTCACACACACAGACCCAGGATTACGCCTGGAGCCTGCAGGCTTTCAAAATGGCCCTGTCGCCTGTGCTGTACTGGATTCACAGTCCCAGCCCCACATCCTCTCCCCGCACCACAAAACTACTGCCTTGCAATGTGGTCTACACCGGCTTCTCAGCTCAGCAGCCACACCCGGGCTCAGTCTGAAGAATGCATACACAGGCCTTCTTCCTTCCGGCAGTCATCCTCCTCTCCTGAAATGCTGTGTGCTATGATTGTCCAGGCCGTGACAATGGTGATGGCTCCGGAGAACACACCAGCTATTTATGAGCCAAGCATCTTGGCCAGTCTGTGCATCCAGGCTGGGCATTTCACTGGTCCCGGGAAGCCAGAGCATCTCCCACTGCCAATGGCTGAAGCTAAACACAGACCTTACTTTGTGCACTGAAAATGCTCCCTCACCTCCTGCTTCTCCCTCCCCCAGCACAAGGCTCCCTGTAGCCCACATTCCCCTCCCCTACTCACAGGCACCAATGGGCACCTCTCCCATAGGTACCTATTTGCATGCAAGCACATTTGTCCACACCCCACCCCTATGGTTTGTTTCATATCAGTGCTTTAATTTCATCCCAGGGCAGTGTGATTTTGACAGGGTAAAAGAAAATAAAAAAGCAGAGAAGATCTTGTCTGACAAATATGGTGTCTACCTACTGGTCTGTGATGGGAGAGAGAGCTGGGACCTGACCTTGAAGGGCCCAGCAGCTTCTTTCCTCCCCTCTCCCATCCCCCACTTCCACTCCTGAAAGCTCATCTCAAACAGCAGGAGGGCAGAGTAGAGGAGGGACAAAGACCAGACATGGCCCATCCCCACTCCCCAATGAGCTACTGAGCTCCGCCTAGCCTGTGGGTACCAGCTGCTCTCCAGCTGGCTTTGGGTCTCCCAGGGGAGGCAGATAGAGGGAGGTTGGCCTTCCCCTTTAAGAGCATCCTCCCACTACCCTCCCTTCCCTCAGAGGCCGAGGCCAGCATCAGAGTCCAGAGAAAGAGCCTGCAGCTCCAGGTACAGCTTTGCCCAACCCCATACAGGGTCAGCTCTTTCCTTTCCCCATGTGGTCATGCCCTGCTGCTAGGTCCTCTCCAGTCTGGTAGGATGGATACCTCTAAGAAAGGGTCAAAGCTGGAGTTAGGAATGGATGGCATGGGGCCTGTGGGGTAGGGAATGATATGGAAGAAGCATTGGGGGCTGATCTTCAGGGCCAGGACAGGCAAGACTGCAGGATACAGGGCAGAGATGGTAGTAATGTGGGGGTAAAAAATACAGGTCCCTCTTCCTAGCTTCTTCCATTTGCTATTTTTGTGACCTTGGGCAAATTGTCCTGTATCATGGGCATTCCTCCCGTGCACTTTGTGTCTGCCAGGCCTGGGACGTGAGGCTGGGGTGTTGGCAGCAGGGAAATTGCTCACACCCTGGCTGCAAAGTCCTCAGAGCAAGCCCAAGTTAGAGCTCCGAGAAGGCCAGGAACCAACCAACCCAGTCATCTTCCCTGAGCCTGTTTCCCCAGCTGGGGAACCAGGGGGAGACTTGATCTATCTCCAGACTGCATGGGGCCTGAATTCTCTCTTGGGGCAGGGCTTCTAGGAGTATCTTGACCCAAAGACCACACTGACAGGAGTCCTGAGGGGCCAAGGCCCCCATCCAGAACACAGTGTCTCTAGAGTATGGGCTGAACATGCCATACATGCTTCCCCTCCCTGCCCATTCTGGCCTTGTGTCCTAGCAGCTGAGCAAATGGCATCTCTTTCCCTCCTCCCTGCCCCCTGCCATTCCTGCGTAAAGGGCACGGGGCCTGGCGTGCAATGCTGGCAGCTGGACCTTTCCATGCTACTGTCAAGTTTTCCAGGGCACAAATGAGACAGGAGAGCCAGGAATAACCAGCTGAGCCCCAGGAGGGTCTGAAGCCGGTGGGCCTGACCCAGATCTGCCTTCAGATCCTGTGCCAACATGGGGTGGGCAGGGCCCCAGGTTCCTGGGCCAGGGCTTTTGGGAGCTGCCTGCAGCCACTAGAAGCTCATTATCTGGCATGAATGCCTTTAGAATTAGCCCAGGCTCCACTGTGGCCCAGGTCCATTCTCTATGTGACCTTGGAGAAGTCATTTAACTTCTCAGAGCCTTGGCTCCTACAGGCTAAGGTGGCAGCCTCTTAGGATCCTAGGGATAATAGTGTAAAGAGCCCTGTGCTGAGTTTGGCCATGCCCCGAGGTTCTGCTATTACAAGATCATTTTTATGGCTGGCCAATCCCAGGGCCAATCACTGGTCTTCTGAATTGAAACTTTTTCCAGACCAGCTAGAGAGTGAGCTCAATTCTAGGCACACAGGACCCATACTGGATAAGGCAGTATGTCAGAGTCCTCACCAGGGAGCACAGAGCAGCAGAACTCTTGCCTGAGGGAAATGGGCCCAAGCGTCCTGGGCCAGGGATGGATCCAGTGAGCAGAGAGAGGGATTGGGCTCTTCATAGGGCAAAGGGGAGAAAGGAGGCAAGAACATTGTCATCAACCTGACAGGTCCTCTCTTCCTGATCCCTGGTCGGGGGGGTCTGGGTGCTGGACACCCCTCCCCAGGGGCTATATTAGCTGTGTGAGTCACAGTGGACCTGGCTGGGAGGCCACAGGCGGGCGGGCACAGTGTAGGGTTACAGTCCATTTATGGGCGCAGCAAGGGCAGATATCAGTGTCGATGGCATTCGCTCCCAGCTATTCTTAGGAGCCTCCCAGGAGCTCTGCACAGCCTGTCTAGGCAGCAAGGGGCAGAGCAGGCAAGGCCGGGGACTGGGGGGTCGGGCAGGGCAGAGGCAGAGGTGTGGGCTGGGGAGGTGGGGTGCATGAGTCTCCCCTCAGTTAATTCTTTTTACCCTTTGCAGAGGCAGCCACTATCAGCACCAGCATGTCTTACAGTGTGACTCTGACCGGGCCCGGACCCTGGGGCTTCCGTCTGCAGGGAGGCAAGGACTTCAACATGCCCCTCACTATCTCCAGGGTGAGTGCACACTGCTCATGGCCTGGCACCCAAAGGGGCAAGGCACACTCAGAAGAGGGCACGTATGTACATCTGTCTGTCTGTCCTCTCCAGGCTCTTGGAAAACAGAGCATACCCTATCCCCTGTCTGAGGGTTCCGACAGAACTGATCTCCTAGTCTTGGCCACCACTGGTGTTTGCCCACCTGAGCCTGTCCCCGAGAGTTTGCCCACTAGAGTGTGACATCATGGGCAGGTGTTGGGTGTTTTAAGCAGAGAAGGAAATGCTGAGTTTGCAGGGTGGACGGGCAGGTGGACAGAGCGTACAGCGCCTTCTCTGGCAGGCAGGCTCTGGGTGCCCCCAAGTCTAAAGTCCCTCCCTAAAGTCCCAAAGTTTGTAGATGCTTTGGGAAAGAGCATGTAATGGGTGGGTGGATGGACGGATAGACAGACTGCTGCCCCTGCTGCCCTGCTGTTGTGATGTGGAGGCAGGCTTGTTACTGAGTCCCAGCACCAATTCCATTCGAGTCCCTCTTCTCTTGCTATCATGGACCAGTCAGGGACCGTGCACCAGCTGGCTCATCGCTCTGGACCTTCATCCCTCACTGGTCCAGGGCTTGCCTGATCCTCCTGCCTGTCTAGTGTCTCCCCCGGCCCCAGATTTACCTGGAGAGATGGCCCCTTGGCCCTGCAGTGTCTGGGAGGCATAGGACAGAACATTGTGGGTTGGGAGGTCCACCACTCTCTTCCAGCTGGAGACACTGAAGCCCAGAGAGGCTAAAACTAGACATATTGAGAAGAAGGGAGAAGGAAGGACTTTGTTTTAACTGCTACTATGGTCCCACATCTACACTACTATCTGGGAAAGAATAGGTGCCCAGTCAATCTTTGTCAGATAAAGGCACTTCCCAGCAATTCCTGGAAGAGCCAGGGTTGAAAGCCCCAGAGCTCAGGAGGAACAGTGAGGCACGTAAGGGGGCAAAGACAACCCCTGCCTAGTGGGTGGTTGAAACCCTGGCATGAAGGGGCCAGCTGAGGCCCCCCAGGCTGTCATGGGAACATGGTGGGTGGCCAGGTGTATCTAGGCTGCTACTAACCTGGGGGAAAAGGATGTGGTTTCTTTCCCCAGGGCAGCAGACTTATCTTGGGCCTAGGAACAGCACTGCAGTAGGTAGTCGGGAAGACCCGAAGGTGCTCTGGTAAGGGGCAAAAGTGCAGGGGTCAGTGCCCCCTGGAAGAGTAGTCTTGATTTGAGAACATGGCATGGGCACTTGGGGGACCCTACAAAGGAGAAGCTCCACCCAGGGTAACCTTGGGAGCCTTGGATCTGCACTCCTCAGATGCTGGTCTTGCCCTCTGCCCTTCTGCTGGAGATCTGGGTCTCTGCCCCTTTCCGCCTACTATCCTGAAGACCAGAAAGTCTCAGATTGAAAAGACACTCAGAGCCTTGCACATCTACCTCAATGATGTGATGTCTGAGCCCAGTGGCTAGCCTACCTTAGTCCCTGCACAGTCCACAAACCCCATAGCTGCCCATCTCCTCCCAGTATAAGGTGGGCCCTTCCTCTCATTCTCATGAGCCTTCCAACCTCCCCATGCCTGGAACTGAGCCCAAGTCTCTCCCAGTGCCACTACCCTAAAGGCTTGCTGCTGATTCTCCCTGCCCCATCCTGTGGGTGCATGTTAGCCCCCAGGCTCAGTGGACCCAGGATAGCCAATGACCTCACATAGGACCTATGCACCACCTGGCTCCAGATGGCCAGGGGCTTAAATGGCTACACAGAGACCTTAAGCTAGACAGCAAGAGGAATGTCCTCACTCGGGGAGGGGGTGTGTTGGGATGTGCGGGAGCCAATGACTGGGGGGACTTATAAAAATAGAACCCATCTAGGACATTGGGGGATAGGCATGGCATTTTCCTTCTGAGACACACCCCAAATCATCTAGGCCATGGATCAGGGTAGGCTGGACACTGGAACCCTCCCCAAGACAGGAAGTCCCTTGGAAAATAACACTGGTGGCTGAGGACACCTTGGCCTCAGGTATCGCAGGCTCAGTGCTCCTGGCCAGATAGATTCTGTGCACACCAGGGCTGTGAAATTTCCTGCTGGGGTTCACAAGGCCCTTCTGCACCAGGAGCAGCCCCCTCAAAGAGATGCAGTGCCAAAACTCTGGAGGACCCCCACTCCCACCCTAGCCATCATCTGCTTCTCACGACTGGCCAGTGGATACTGCTCATAGTCTTGATCTAAGCTTTTGCCGCAGGGCACCACTGGCAGTCCTGGGGTGGGGAGAATTGGCCAAGCAGAGCATACTCATTCTCAATAGGGACCTGAACCCTCAGGGTACATTCACTGCAATCCAAGGGGGTGATCGGGAAGCCAGGGCTGGGATTTCCTCACCTTGCAGCCATCAACCTGAGACTCACATTTATGCACAGAAGTGGTGGTGGGTGGAATTCCTATGTCTTGGTGGTACCTAACACCCATGCCTGCTCCCACACCTCTCTGACTATAGAAGCCCCACCCTTTCAATTGCAGACAGGCACTGAAACTCCTCCTGTAAGGATACCCGCCACCTGCAGGCTAAGTGGTAGCTCCCATACCCAGCCCTGCCTTGTCCATGGGCCCCACTAAAGCAACCTGAGGCAGTAGCAGCCGTGCAAGGGCTCCCTTCTGTGGGTCTTAACAGGGTACTTTTACTAGTGTACAAAGGATGACCCACAGAGAAGGGGGTTCAGGAGGGGACTGGGAGAGTGGAGGGGAAATGCCTTTATTTATCCTGGACAGGTGCGGTAGGGCCTGCAACATGAGCTGCCCTCTCACCCCACCCTCCCCAACCCCAGCCAGTTCTCCAGGAAGTAGGGGAGGGGTGGGAGCAGCCAAGGAGGGAGCAGCTCCAAAGGCCCAGCCCCGCTTTGCCCCAGCAGCTGGCCAGGGGCTGGGGCCACAGTCAGGGCCTTACCCCTTCATGCCTGTTATGCCCCCATTTTTATGAAGGTGCTGTGCTTTTGTTCAGCTCTGCTACTCTCAGCTCTGTCATCATCTGTCCAGCCTTAGTCTTCTTATCTGTAAAATGGGCCCTGCTGCACCGGGACTGTCCCCCTCAAAGAGATGCCAGGCCAGAACTCTCTGGAGGAAGGGACAGTGCTTTCTTCTAGGTGTGAGAGTACAAATGTAAGAAAACTTCCCACTTGGCTGGTTGCAAGGCTGGCAGAGTGGCAGGGTGAGTCTGGGTCCAGGCAAGGCCCGCCTCTGCTGGAAGGCCTCCAGCCCCGGGCCTCACCAACCTCACCTGGCAGACACCAGTCCAGCAGCCTCTGCTTTTATGCTGGTTTCGGTTTCAGTATTTATTGGATTCTCCCAGCTGAGGTGGGGACACTGAGAACAGAGGATCCCTGGGGAGACAGATGGGGACAAGCCAAGACTATTCTGGGGTAGTTGTGCAGGCAATTCCTGGAATTTTGAGGTCGCTGGAGCACGTCTCACTGTCACTCAGGCAGCGCCTAGCAGTGCTGACAGGCCGTGCTGTTTATAGCCTCACTGAAGGTCAGGCAAGCCTCCGAGACCTCCAGCGATCCATCTATCAAACAGGGGAAGATAAGTGAAGACCGCAGAGTCACAGCTGGGAATGAATTCTTAGAGACACCCTCTCCCCAGACCAGGCCTTCCCTGCTATCTCTGACCCCTTGATAGCTCTGAAGGAAGTGGACAGAAAGCTGGCTAGATCCTAGGGAGGGGACCTTCAGAGGCCTCTGGACCAGAGCAAGGGCAACTGCACGGGCAGTCCCAGGAAGCCTGGGTTAAAGGCATTGGGGGGCAGCAGATGTGAGGAGGACAGAGCCCCAAGTGGACATCCCTCTAGCCTGGGGACCGAGGTCCCCCCAGTTTCCTTCCCTTTCTGAATGACTCCCTCCCGTGCAGGGGCTGCCCCTGATTGCAGCTTCCCCTTGGGCCCCATCTCCAGTCCTCTAATTGCCAAACACAGCTTTCTCCATCCTAAGAGGCATGAAATTGGCTTTGCTGGGAGACCCTGAGAGCCAAGTGCACAGGAGAGCATTTTACTGGCCATACCCAGGACGTAAACAGAGCTATAGGCCTGGACGGGAGGAGAGGAGAGGGACAGTGGCTGGGCCTGGAGAGGCAGGGGAGGGCGTGGTCAGCTAGAGAGGAGCAGTGACAACCCCACCCACCCGGCTTGAACATAGGGGGGCTGTTGTTATATGTGGCTGGATGGGGGCCAAAGCTGGATGGCTGAGTGTGAGAGGGGTGGGAGTAATGGGGCTGAGACCTTCAAGTCTCTTCTTCGGAAGTCTGGAGGTGACAAAGGGAGAGAAACGAGACAGGATCCAATTAGAACAAACAAGGCAGGACACTGAAGAAATTTTGACTTATTTATTGGCCGAGGTGGGACTGGAGAGTGGGGGCTGTGGGGAGACAGAGGTTCCAGTGAGAGGATGAGGGCTGGGGCAGGGCCCCAGGGGAGGACAGATGGGAAGGGAGCAAGCATGGCACAGTGGTAATTTAATCACACAATGTTAAAAATGTTAAAATGTACCCAGGGATTCAGGGGGAAATCCCGGGGAAGGGTTGGGAGGAGGAGCTATGGAAGTTGTAATCTCCTAAGGCTTTACTACCTGCCCCTGGCCCTACCCTGCCACACCTGGCAAATCCAGAAGAGACGGAAGGCAGGAGCCTGCCTGCTGCTGAGTACCAAGAGTGATGGCTGGAAGCTTGTACAGAGCCCAACTGCCAGCAGGGAGGCTGCCAGCTGTTGTCCCTGTTGCCAGGGTGCTGGGGGATTAGGAAGCCACAGCCTGGGTGTGCTGGAGTCCCTACTGGCACCTTACTTCCTTGGGACCTTGGATAGAATTCCCCTGACCCGGGCCCCTGTAAGGACAGCAGTTGACTCAGTACTGGTCATTTGGGGCTGACCTCTTGCTTCCCACCCTCTGCCAGCGCTGGATCTTGTTTCCTGTGGAGCCTGGGGATAAGGCCGGTGACTTCAGCCCTTCTGGCACCTCTGGGGGTGGGGGGAAGGGGACAGAGTCAGCACTCACACTTTCTTGGTTTGGAGCTTCTCTGGAACTTTCTCAGCTCTGCACCCTCCTTACACAATCCCGTGTTTAATAATATAGTCCTTACAATCATCCTGAGGGATGTCACACTCTCTCGACGGGATACTTGAGGGAAGCTCATTCCAAAGTCCATGCTCTTTCTTTTGCTGCCTCCCTTGTAGGTGCATGCAGATGACCCTGGTACCAGCTATTCCTGTGCCACCCTCTGGTGGGCCCTAAGACCACAGCCCAGCAAGGTAGAAGGGCTCCTGTAAGCCAGGTTGCTGAACTTGGCCTCCAAATATCCAAATACCCAGAGCTTGTCATCAGTGCTCCCTCCTGGGGGTCTCTGGGATCTGCTCAGGGTTGGGGGTCCCTGTTGAGAGGTGTCTGTCAACTGAAGAAAACTGAAAAGTGAGGTGGAAATAAACTACTCATTTCAGAGAGGAATTTAAATGCCCAAAATGGAGTAGGAAGATTTTTTTAAAAGAAAAAATAAAGAAGAAACCCTTCCAAGAATTTGGGAGCTTTGAGTCTTTTCTGGTACAAAAGGGATGGAGAGTCAGATAAAAGATGCACAGACATATCATGCTGGACTATACTTTTCATGAGCCCAGGCTCTGGCAGTGCACAAGGGTCCAAGGGTGCCATTTCTCTTTCCCAGCCAGGGCAGTCTGCTCCTGGGTTTAGGGTAAAGGACCTGATGGCCCTTGGCTGCCTTTGGGGTTCCTGCCTCCATCCTGCCTTCTGTAAGGGCACTTGGGCAGAACAGAAGAGCATCTCCCTATAAGAGTATATCTGTACCCCACCCAACCCTGAGGGACATTTGACACTGCTTGGGGCAGCCAAAGTCTAGGCCAGCTGTGTGCCCTGATGAGCAGACACAGGCGCAGGGAGAGAGGCGCCAAGGGCAGACTGGAGCCAGCTCATAGCTCCCCGCAGGGTATATGGCTACTGATCTGGCTCCAGGGAGGCTGAGCTCTCCTCAGGAACGAGGATCACCCCAGCTCACACCTGTAGGATGAGGAGGAGCCAGGCAGGACCCAAAGGGAAGGACTGGCATGAGCTGGCCTATGCCTGAGAGAGAAAGATGTCACCAAAGCAAATCTGAAAGAAGGGCATTCCAGCTAGCCTGCAGCTGGCCCTAGCTGATAGGGCCCATCCTCCTTTGGATATCATTCTGGTGCCCTTGATCACACTCGCATGATCTTCTGGATGCTCCCATCCTGCCTGGCAGTGTTTCTTCTGTGGTTGCAGATCCTGTCCTTTTGTGTGAGATTTGCAGCTGTGTATTTCCCCTCCCCCAGATTTCTGCTGCCAGAGACAACCCCTTTTCTGTAGATGGTAAGAAGCATCTGGGTGTATCATCCTATAAAGTTGTCTTGCTGTGGAGCGGACATGCTGGGAGTTACCTACTATGGGGAGCCACACCATGAGGTAATAAGCAGTAGGTAATAAGCATGGGGACAAGCATGACAGGTATCTTCCTGCTCAGGTGTGACCTGCTCTGGGGGAGCCTTGTGGACAGTGCACTAGGAACAGTATAGTAGTTGCAAAAATCACCTTGAATAAAAGCACATAGTGTTTGTAACTTCTTCGAAGTCCCTCTGAAATAAGGATTGGAGGATGGATAGATAGCGGAATAGATGTGTGGTAAAGCAAGATGAATTAAATATTATCCCAGAACTATGGTGGTGGGTATTTCAGTGTTCACTGTAGAATTTTTTCAACTTTTTCCATGTTGGAAAAAGTCTATAATGAATTGTTGGGGATGGCAGAGCCCTGCACAGGAAGCCAGAATGCAAGTAGATTTTCTTCAGCACAGCCTGGTGGGGCGAGGCAGTTCTGTGTCTTCATGAGTCCCCTCTTGGTCTAGGAAAATATTTTGGTCTTGTTCAGTATTATTGGTTAACTGCCCCTCTCCAAGGCAGCAACACACTCCTATCATTAGAAGAGGATCCGTATAGCAACAAATTTAGGGAGAAGAGTGTATTTGGAGAAATCCCAAGTAGTTCTATAGGGCATCTGCCCCTATGGAGTCTGGAGATTGAGCTGGGCTTCCTGGAAATCTAGGCATGTGTTTCTCTATTGTCCTTTTTTTAGCCTGCAGATTCAGGGGTTGAAGGAGGGGTATTCTGCATACAATATGGCTAGTATTTAAGAAGACACCCAGGGCTGCAAAGGCAGGTTTTTGCTGTCATCATTTGCATTGTATAGGCAGTGTTTCTGAGATTGGTGCTGTGATTATGCAAAAGCCATTCAGTTTCTGGGTGCACCCTGTAGAGTCCATCTGGGAGTGGCCTGGAGATGGGTGACTGCGGGGCACCCTGATTTAAATGGGATTCCCTGTGAGGGGCCTGGCAGGAGGCCTCTATCCATGTCTGTGAGCCCAGGAACTAGCTGGAGGCCCATCCAGGCTTGGCACATGGGACACAGGACTGTCCCCAAGTCCTCTCTGGACTCCTTCTAGGATGATCCCCAGTCCTTGGCCAGAATCTGTTTTTTGCCAACATTAGGAGCTGGCCTTGTCCCTGGATCATAGCCAAGAAGGTGATTAGGATGTGCCCATAGAAGCCAAGAGTACTAGCTGGTGGGTGTGTACAGGGGGCAAAGCCAAGGGACACCCTTCAGCCATAGCCAGAGTCAGGGTGGGAAGGCAGAGCCTCCTATTTCCTGTGATATCATTGGGGATGGGGTGTACCTGGCATTCCACAGATGTCATAAGTAGGGGCCTCTTGTATGGTGTCTTGGGGTCAAGTCCTAAAGTCATTCTATGTGATATCAGCAGGGGCTGGACATTCAATGGAAAATCTCAGGGAATGAAGCTAAAGTCTCCATGACATCCGATAAATTATCTTTGGGATAGGGCTATCACTAAGGGCAGTTTATCACGCCATTTTAAGTGGTGTCACCAGGTACTTTGAACATCACTGTGGGTGGGGCCTCCATGGCATTCAGGGTGACATTACTTGGAGCCAGGCAGGCAAAATTTAGCATTGGGCATGATGCCTTCGAGAGCACAGTCTGAGCCACCCTGGCATACCAAGTAATATCCCACGGGGCCTGCCTTCCTGATAACCCATGGGGTGTTCCTGGGGCAGGATCTCAATGGTATTCTCTGAGGTTATACTGGAGATGGAACCTCTGGACTCTGCCCTGTTTCCCAGCCAATTTTGCTCACCTAGGCGGGTGGATGGCTCCCTCCGCCCTCTATACACCTGCCATGGTAGCATGAAGCCCCTGACATTAGGATGCTTTTGAGTAGGTGCATTTATCCTGCCCCTTGGCCTGTCAGTGTCTTTGGGATGGGGAGTGCTGAGTTTCTACTCCTAGGTCTCCCTTCCCGCCTGGGACCTGGAAAGTGCTAGGCTCTTAGAGTACAAGGGTAATAGTAGGCTAACTAATGTAACAAATGAACACCAAATCTCAATAGCTCAGCACAATGAAAGTCTATTACAGCATGTGATGTGGGGTTCCTTAATCATCTCTCCTCCAGGCAGGGACTCCAGGATCCAGGCCCCTTCCAGTTAGCGGCCTGGTTGTGCTCCTCTCCATCCTTTGCACTTAGCCAACAAACAGTGTGCAGGATCACAAGGATGATGGCAGGGCAGACCTGGAAGTGACATGCATTACTTACCCTCTCATTCCACTGACCAGAGTTAGTACCACTGCTATAATTGGATACAAAGCACTAGGAAATATAGTATCCATGTTCCAGGTAGAGGAAGCAGGCTTGGTGAGCAGCAGGTATGAACATAGTGAATGAAAGACAACACGATGGGTTTCTACTGGATAGTCCATATGCCTCCTCCTTAAGGACTGGTCTATCCTTAGGACCAGCCTCCTTATGCTCATCCCTCTTCTGTTGTCCAATCAGATCACACCAGGTAGCAAGGCAGCCCAGTCCCAGCTCAGCCAAGGTGACCTTGTGGTGGCCATCGACGGCGTCAACACAGACACTATGACCCACCTGGAAGCCCAGAACAAGATCAAGTCTGCCAGCTACAACCTGAGCCTCACCCTGCAGAAGTAAGTGGAATCTCTTCAGAGCAGGGCCAGATGTTTGAGAGTGGGCATGGGGTAGGTGCAAAAGAGGGGTTGTCCCTAACAATTGAATGTGCCCAGCCCTGTGCTATGAAAAAACTAGTCCAAGTCACTGTCAAGATGTTACTGCCTCACTTTACACATGAGGCTCAGAGACAGTAGCAACAGTACTGCCAGTATGGGACCTAGAAACCAGGATCTTTCCTGCTTTTTGGTCCAGACAGCCTCCCAAGGACATAGCAGGGGCCCATGGTACTGATCAGAGTGCCCAAGGTCTACAACTTCTCCATTCTGGTCGGGTCAAGAACCTTTCCCGGGGAGACCCAGCCATTGGTCGGACAGTGAACCTCAGGCCCTCTAACCTGACTGTCCCTTGTAGCCTTGCCCAGGCAGAATATCCTGGCCCCAGGGGCAACTGTCCTCACTTGTTCCCATTTCTGGTTTCTCCAGGTCAAAACGTCCTGTTGCCATCTCCACAACTGCACCCCCCATCCAGTCCCCTCTGCCGGTGATCCCTCACCAGAAGGTAGGTGCAGATTGTCGCAGTGAGGTCCACTTTCAGCTGTGGCTCCTGCCTGCCCCTGCCCTGCCATTGATGATTCTCAGGAGAGGCATTCAGGCCCTCCATGAAGTACTGAGATGTGGGGTACTGCCTGATGCTAGCCACCATCCCAGGTCCCCTGGCTGTGCTGATAGGAAGCCAGCTTGGGCAATAGTGTTCTAGAAGAGAGGTGGTTATTCTGGCCAGGCAGAAGCAAGATGTCCAAGAACACTAGGGCTGGGAGTGACCATGGCAGAAGCTTCAACTCATATCAATCAACCAAGGAGGCACTCCCAGGCATGAAGGAGCCTACTGGCCCTCAGGGCTTCTCCTCCACACGTCTCTCTCTTCCTCTAGTTCCTACTTGCCCACCTTCCTGTCAGAAAAACTGGTTGTGGCCTTAGAGGCAGGCAGATCAGGTGATGAAGGATGGAGAGCCCTGGCCCCAGACCTCACCATTGTGCTCAGGGGTCTTTCCAAAACTCCCTCTAAGCAGTTCAGCCCCACGGTCCAAGGGGCTTGACCCAAAGCTAGGAAGGCCCAGCCCAAGGTTCCTGCAGCCTGCTCTATTGGAGCAGATTGGGCAGTGGTGGAGGTGGGCAGGGAAGACAGAGGAGAAGAGGCATACAGGGGTTGAGATAAATCACAGATTGGGGAAGTGGGCAGAGAGCTGTTTGAGAGAAGTTGCAGAAGTGGACTAAAAAGACTAAATAGGCCACCTACTTCCTTAATTGCCCTTCTGGCACTCCCACCTGGCTTGCCCTGAGGATCCCATCTGCCTGGGTTTCTACTGGATGGTAGCAGAGACCCTGAGGGGGGCAGGGTGGTTCTCAGTGTGATGTTAGTATTCCAGGAGACTGGGCTGTGTCCACAGTATGCCCCTCTCAGGAGAAGAGAGAACACCAACAGGATGGAGGGGACCTCTACTTACTATCCCCTGGCCCCACACCACTTCCTTGGGCCCCAGAGATAGGTTTGGCTTTCTGTGCAGGGCTTTGCATTTGTGTCCAGGTGGAAGCCAGTCTGCAGGCTAGGAGTTGTGGGCCTCCCCCACTCCTCTAGACAAAACCTTTCTGTGCCAGTGTCCCATCTGGGTGCTCCAGGCAGCGGGCTGCAGGTGGCAGGTGGCAGGTGGCAGGCTGCAGGGTGCTCGCACTAACCCTCCCATTTCAAGTCTATGCAGAAGCACTGCACATGCGTGGCCTCTAACCACTCTCTTCTCTCTCCCCTGCATGGTGCTGCCCTGTGTCAGGACCCTGCTCAGGACACGAACGGCAGCCTGGCGGCACCAAGCCCCAACCCTGAGGCAAGGGCCAGCTTGGGCACCCCAAGCACCCTGGAGCTCAGGGGCACCTTTAGCTCCTCCTTCTCCCAGACCTCCATCTGCTCCTCTCACACGGAGGCCTCGGACCTCGGCCCTCCACGGGACAGCCCAGGGGCCAAGGCCATCCCTGAGGGGGCCCAGGACCCACTCAGCCTGAAAGTCCTGCCAGGTCCGAGCCAGCCAAAGCAGTATAACAACCCCATTGGCCTGTATTCAGCAGAGACCCTGAGGGAGATGGCTCAGATGTATCAGATGAGCCTCCGAGGGAAGGCCTCAGGTGCTGGACTCCTAGGAGGGTAGGTAATGAATGCACAGCTCTCCACTGGTGGTCTGGGGCCACCTGGGGCCACCTGGGTCCTCGGTGCTCAGCAGAGGACTGAGCAGGTGACTGGAGAGAAGTGGCTTCAATCCAGCCACCCTATGCCCATGAGGCAGCATTGGAGGGCAATGCAAGCAAAGACCCTATTGACGTTTGCCGTGAGCCGGGCACATCAATGCTTTATACATCTACCCAGGGGGTGACATGCAGGCTTTTTGCAGAAGAAACTGAGGCTCCAGAGAAGGTTAAGTTGAGGTCCAATTGCCTTGCTACTAAGGCAGCCAGTCAGGCCTACATACGTGAGACTTCAATTTCCCAAATTTTCATAGCAGGACACACCCCTCCTCATGGGACTGGACAGCCTGCTGCCTTCAGGAGCCACACACACTTCAGGAACCCTGAGGCAGGAACAGGGAAGAGTTCCAGGTAGAGGGCCAATTCCCTAGGACTGGGGAGTCTTTTGGGAAGGCTGCCTGGGAGAGGGAGCCCAGGAGCTGACAGTGGAGAGACTGGCAAGGGTGTGAGGGGAGGGGGATTGCAGGGACCCTGGTTAGGTTGGGCAGGCCCCCCATGGTCTAGCTGGTGAGACTCTGAGAGTAGGAGTTAGAGGAACATGGATCTGGGGCTTCTTGGAGGAGGCTGAAGGAAGGAAGTCCTCTCGTGGCCCGTTCTAGTGTCTAGGCCCTTCCCATCTCTTGTTTCTTAGTAGCTTCCATTTCCAATGCCTCTGGTTATCTCTGGGTGCAACAGGCAGGGCAGGCTGTGAGGGCAAGGTAGCCTGTAGGGGGTTCTGTGGGAGGAATCACACTGTCCACATCTCGGGGTTATGGGGAAGGTAAAGGGGACAACACATGTAAAGCACTGAGTTCTGCCCTGTCACACACTTACCACACGGTGCCCATTGCCTGGAGTTACACGGTTGGTACCCAGAAGATTTAAAACAAGAATCTGGTCAGTCTAACCCCAGCCTTGCCCTTCACGTTGCCCTTGCTGTGCCCCATCAGCTCCGTGTTCCTCTGGACCTCCCAATTTCCCAGCTCTTTCTAGGCCCTGAGAGAATCTGGCCTCTGGCATGTCATGGCTTCCTTGAGCCAAAGTGGCAGAGCCGTGTGGACCAGCACCTCCCCCTCTTCACCCTCAATGGCTTCCCTGGCAAGGGATTTTTGCAAGAAAACTCTGAAAATATCAGAACAGAGATGGCCACCTTGTCCTGCCTTTGATGGACTGGTAGACCTTCCTGATCCTTTCTGGGACTTGCCCCAGGTAGGAAGGCTGGACTCTGGTGGACTAGGTTGCCTGGGAAGCCCACCTGCCGTGGTGATAATGTCTCCCCTTGACTGAGCTTTGACTCTGGGCTGGGAGACTGGCTTAATCTCTCAGTAACTTCAGAGGTGGGCATTGTTTCCCCTCAACCTACAGCCGTGAAAACAGAGGCTCAGAGAATGAATAGTTTGCCCAAGATCCCACAGCTAGCAAGTGGCACATACACTGGCATCTGGGTCTGCCTGACTCCATCTTGCTTTGAGATAGGTTATCTACTGCCCAGAAAGTCAGAGGCCAGCTCCAACCCCTACTTCTTTTGACTCCCCAGGTGCCATTCTGTTGGCACAAGGGTTGCCCAGAACCTGACAAAAGTGTCAACCAGAGACAACCAGAGAGGCAGGATCCAACAGGTTCCTCCAAGGGAAGATGAGCCAGGAGAGGGAGGGAGTTTGGTGCTTCATCTAGAGTAAAAACTAATGCTGCTGTTCCAGGAGTGAGAATAGGAAGGGCTGGAGTCTCTGCTAGGCCAAGGCCACTGCCTTTGATGAGTGTCTAACTGCTTGTAAGCAACAAGGTTAGCAAATGCTGATCTCTACATCCCTCCATTGCACATTTAGCCTAGGCTGGGGGCTTTGGACAGGATCCTGTTGTTCACTGGAATAGTCCATCTGTGTGTGGGGGGATACCATCATCTCCATTTTATGAATGAGAAGACAGAGGCTGAGAGGGGTGGGTAACTTGCCTGGAGTCCCAGTGCTAGGAGGTAGGGTCAGGATTCAATCTCTGATCTGTCTGGCTCCAAAAGGAAGCCCCTCCCTGGCTCTCTCCTCTGGACAGCTTGTATCTCCTTGGAGGGGTGAGAGGAATGGATGTAATGCAAGGGTAGGCAGGCCTGAGCATCCCTGCGACCTGCTTCTCATCCTGTCTGAGGCTGGCATTGAAGGGCAGTGTTCCTCAGGCCACTCAGTACAAAGTACCTTAGACAGGTGTAGCATCTTGGCAACAAGACCTGGGCACTGGCTCCTCACCACGTCTGCTGTAGGCACCCCAGCCTGGGGTTCTCAGCAGCGGGAGGAACCAATGCCAAAGAAGGTGCTGGCTGACACCCCGCCAGGCCAACACTGTCCTCTGCAAGGGACACTGGGCTGGTTAGGGCAAGGGCTGACCCTGCAGCTGTCAGCACTGGCCAAACATGGAGAAGGAATGGAAGTTCCATGCTGGCCCTTTCCTAATATAGATCTACTTGTGGCTATTTTGAGCCTGGGAGGACAGAGAGAATTTTATCAGCTCTGAGACAGGGTGGGCCTGGAGTTGAGCAGAGCCACCATGAAGTTCCCTGGAGTGGGGTCCTGGCTACAAGGAGACCAGGGCCAGGCCACTTGGAGCCAAATTTTCTCCAGTCAGAGCCCAACAGTGGGCTGCTCAGGCAGGTGGTAGAGTTTGGAGACAGAGCCCACTGCCCTCTACTCTTTCTGTATCAGGTTTCAGATAGGGCTACTGGCCACAGGGCTGCCACCATAGGTAATTTGTATTTAAAGAATCATGGTATAGACAGTACTCCCCAAAGAGATCAGGCTTTAGGAGACTGGTTCTTATATCAGAGCAAGGGGCAGGTCCCTCTCTGGTATCCAAGCTGTGCTACCCAGCTTTGGCCTTTCCTGTAGCAAGCTTGGGACTCACACTCTTCCTGGGCCTCCTCACTCACCTCCTTGCTGTGGCATGCCCCTCCTCTGGAAAGAGGAAAGTGTTCCAAGTATTCCCTCACCCCACACAGCCCCACTGCAATGCCTGCTCAGGGAGCGGAACTCCTGAGTTGCCCCCATGAAACAGAGCTAAGTCCAGAGCTACTGTCTAGGAGGAGGTGGGTGGGGATTTGGCTCTTCTTCACGCAGCCCTGTTGATCCTTTCTCCATCCCCAGATTCCTCTCTGGGGTCTACAGCCAGGCTGTATGTGGGGGATTCTTGTACATGGTACGAATGCCCATGAGTTGAACAAGAAAACCCTTCTCCTAGCAAAGCTGAGGGCATGGAAGCCCACCATGGAGGGAATACTGCTGTGTTGATATCTCCAATCCAAACCGAGGGTCCTGGAGGCCATGGTCTCTGATCCTGAGCGCGCTCTCTCCTTTTCACTCCTTACTCTCTTCACACAGTGCGGTTGGGCCATCCATCTATCATGGCCAGTGTGCAGGCGGTCCTAGTGTTCTAGCTCCCCCTGCAGGAGCCTCATTCTGACGTCGCTGTCTTCTTTGCCCTTTCTCTCTTCCCCAGGTGGTAGCCAACTCTCCAGCCAAGTTAGTATCCAAGGAAAGCATGTGTGTGCACTTGTGTGCCATCTCAGCATGGCTCTGCGTGTCTGTCGGGTGTGGATAGCCTGTGCCTATCCGCATGTGTATTTGTGTGCATGTGTGAGTAGGGGTGCTTTTGTGCCCTGGGTAAGCCTGCATGGGTGTGAAGCTAGAGGATGGAGTGAAGGCGTTGCAGGGGGGAGGGGGTTTCTATCTGGTGGTTCCAATTTCATTACCAATTTCCTGCTCCAACTGCTTAAACCCTGCAAGCTAGCTCTGGTAGGTGGGTGGGTGGGGTGCTGCGCTGTCTCCAGGATTTGTGTGAGCCTGAAGATCTCTGTTCCAGTGGGACCCTTGAGGAGGACTGCACCTTGTCTTTGCCTGGGGAGGGATGGGTGGAGGCACCTATCTGCTGGAAGGCAGAGCCCCAGATGGGTAGAAGCTGGTGAGCCACACAGACACCTGGACTGGATGGGCCTGCGAAGCCTAAGTTCTGCTCCAAGGAAGACACACAGACAGAAGCATCTGAAAGAACACAGCCTCCAACTACAGAAGGATTGCCAACAGAATGAATCCCTTCTCGGAGAAACTTTGCTCAGAATCCCTGTGGGGACCCTGTGTGGCTATTTTTCGCCTTTGGGACGCTCTGAACTCAGCTTGCAATGTTGCTGCCTCTCTCATGTGGCCCAGCTCCTGTCCCCTCTCTTGAACCCCATTCCCCTAATCTTTTTTTTTTTTTTTTAATCTCTGCTTCTCTGGCTGTGTGTGGTGGGAGATCTCTCCATGCCTGGAGCCTCCAGCGTCAGTTAGTTCAGACTGAGCCAGAGCCTGCTGGGGATTTGGGGCAGCTGACATAGACAAGAAAAACCTTCTGCACAAAGTTTTGGGGAGGTGCTGAGGATTTTCCTGACCAGACTCTGCCAGCCCACAGTGGGAGATCTCGGGGTCAGGCCTGGGCTTTGGGAGATCTGCTTGGGGTCAGGCCTGGGCTTTGGGAGATCTCTTTCAACACTCACCACCACCAGGCCTGGCCTTGACCTCTAGTGTAACCTCCACCTGTTGCCCTTTTCTCCTTCCCCTTCTCTCCTCCACCCCTACCCTGCTCCTCATGTGCCCCTTCCCCAGCGCCGACTACCAGGAACGCTTCAACCCCAGTGCTCTGAAGGACTCGGCCCTGTCCACTCACAAGCCCATTGAGGTGAAGGGGCTGGGTGGCAAGGCCACCATCATCCATGCACAGTACAACACGCCCATCAGCATGTACTCCCAGGATGCCATCATGGACGCCATTGCTGGGCAGGCCCAAGCCCAGGGCAGTGACTTCAGTGGGTAAGCGTCTTCCCCACTCTCTTCACCTGCAGAAGCCACCAGGCACCATAAGGACCAGCTTTCACCTTCCTCTTGGGGCACAGGCCCTTGAAAGGAAGCCAGCTTTTGCCAGGGCCTTCCAGAACAGGGTTATGGTCTCTTCAGAACTTCTTTCTCACGGTCAACTTCAGGAGAAGGGTGGAGAAATGCAAAATGTGGTGGTTCCTTTGCATTTTCCAGGTTCCATGAGGAGGTTGGTTTAGAAAAAAAGTCTTCTACAAAACTCTCAAAGCAGCACTCAAGACCCACCCCCATCCCAGCCTCCCAGGACCAAGCTGTTCTTGGGGGAGAGAGTGAAGTTGCTTTATTCTTCCAGCCATGAGAGATCCAAATACAGGATGGGCTTCCTGTTGGGAAGTGGCTTCCAAGCAATCATTCAAGGTTGCTGTTGGCAGTAGGTCCCATTGATGGTCACCTCCCTTCTCCTTTTTGCCTCAAGGTAGTAGAATTGAAGACTTTCGTCCTCTTAGCTGTGAGTAGGGAACTTGAGGATGAACTAGGAAGCACAGTTGGCTGAAACCCTTTTTTGGATGAAACTGCTCACAGTGCAAACATTAACAGGGCTTCCTCTCTCTCTCTCTCTCTCTCTCTCTCTCTCTCTCTCTCCCTCCCTCCCTCCCTCCCTCCCTCCCTTTCTCTCTTTCATGCTGTGTCCATTGAGTATCTCTCTTCCTGTCCTCCTCTGTCTCCCTCTATATATCTCTTTATCTGCCTATGTGTCTCTTTCTGTGTCTCTCACATCTCTTTCTTACACACACACACACACACACACACACACACTTCCTTATTGTTTTCTGCTTGAGAATATCATGTGTTGACTTACAGAACTGGCTGATTATGTCTTTAGGTAACATCTCATCTCTGGATCAGGGGTCCTGAGCAATTAATGGCAAAAAGTCTTGAGATACCTTGAAACGTTCTTCTGAAAAGAGGAAATCAGATGTTATAAGATGGGTTAAAAATCTCCAGAGAGGTCCTACAGGGCTTGCCCTTTCCAGAGCCTAGCCTCTGATGTGCATGTAGTTTATGAAGGGTAGATCAGGAGACCAGAGGATGAAATATAAAGGTGGGGTGTGGATTTCCTGGGCTCTTGCTTCCGGGGGGAGCCTAGTGCCCTCTTGGAAACGCAGTAGTTACTTTCGACCACTAGGTGGGGGACATTGCCTGCTCTGCAGCCTCAGATCTCAAACCCACAAGGCTCAGGGCTGACTCTGCAGAACTCGGCACCGTGCTGTTTTTTTAAATCCATCATTCAAAGCAGAAAATATGAGCCTGCAAGTTTAAAAACACAACCATTAGCTCATGCGTACCCAGAAAAAAAAAAAACAGGCTGCCTGAATAAGTCCAAGAGCCACCAGGGATTTCCTGTTAACATTTGTTTGCCACATGGTTCTTGGTGTGCTCTTTTAAAGTGGTTTCAGTCACCAAAGACAAGTTTGGTAGAAAATATTGAAAGAAATGCTCTTCACCAACTTTATATTTTTTGCACCTTGGGAAGAATGATATCTTTTGGTTTTACAATGAGGGTTCCATGTTTTTTTGAATATGATGCCCTGTTGATTAATCTAGGCTTCTTGAAGGATCTACCCCATCTCCTGTCCTCTTCGCAACCCTCCCCTTCCTTTTCCTTGCGTGCTGGGAAAGGATCATCCTCTTCCCTTTCTTTTAACTCAGCCATGCTGGGTTAATGCTGGTGAGGTGCCAGTGGATAACCCTCCTGACCAGAGCGTGCACCCGTTTCTGCTGTTAATTTCCATGATTCCTTCCTTACTGACCGTTTTCTTTTTCTCTCTTTCTTCTTCCTTTACCCATCCCACTCCCCTAACTCATTTCTGATCCTAACCCTGCTCTCTGTGTGCGCTGCCCCTCTGCCATCCCATGATGGACGCACACTCACGGCTGGGTTTCCCTCTGCTTGGCAGGGCGTCGCCGCTGGCGTAAGTAGATCCCGCAGTGTTTGTCCCGTCCTCCGTCTGTCTGGTTGCAGGATGGTGTGTGGGTCTGGTGGGATGTGTCTGAGGACCAGTGGTCAGTCCGTATGTTCTGTCCACGTTCTTCCTCACACCCACCTCGCAGCCAAACAATATCCCCTGCAGCCTATACCAGCAAATGTTTGTTTTAGGGGGTTGCCCCCAAGTAACATCAACATGGCTACTGAAATCCAAAGTAATGACACTCACACTGTGCCCACCCCCCCAGCCTGAGGCTGCATCCTTGTGTTTTCCTGGCCATGCTTTGAAGATGCTTTCCCCACCCTTTCCTATATGCACTGGCACCACATGTTCCTGGAGGTCTGAATCCATACTAGACCATTATTCAGGGACAGAAAATGGCAGAGAAGCCTCTTGAAGACCATTCTCCAGAACCCTAATGAGAGATAGATCTGTAAAGACAGGGAGGTCAGGAGAGAGGTGAAAACTGAGTCAGATTTGGAAGCAGTGCACAGTGGGGTAAATGCCAGAGGTGACTTTGACCTTGTGGTGACTGGAATCTTTTCTGTGACAAGAAGCACAAGCAGGGAGTGGCCCAGAGTGTCTGGACTGCAGGGCCTTGTTCCATCCTCCCTCTGCTTTTTTTTTCTGAGCTTCATTGTCCTGACAGGCACAGGGATTCCCTCATCAGACTCCCAATCTCTGTTACAGCAGTGACAAGAAGAATCCTGGGTCTTTGCACAGTTTGGTGGGAAAGGAAGCCAGCAAGGTAGAAATCTGAACAACTCATTTCTGGTAGCATTCTTAAGCCCCTGGAGCCAGGGAAGGCACAGGAAAGCTCCTCATGGACACATTGCAGGGACACAGCAGCAAACACCTTTTATCTGCTTTCTGGATTGCAGAGCCCCATTGAGACAGGCTCAAGGGTAGGGCCCAGGGTTTGATCCCACACCCTCCCTCCATAAACTGTGATAATCTATACCCTCCCTTCTGTCTCCTCCTAGTCAACCAGGAGCCAGAACCAAGGGACCTGGCTGTTCTTTCCTATTACTCATCTGTCTCACTTGGGATCCTTCCTATGCTGGGTGGAAATGACTTCCCCCAGCATGAATGAAATCCTGCACTCTCTTCTTCTTAGGTAGCCACAGCTCCTCCCTGGCTGGACCTCTGAGAAATTTGCTGGTCCTCCCCATCCAATCTCAACCTCAGGATGATAGTACTCCTCGTTCCTCAGACCAGGGAAGAGCCTTCAGGAAATGAGGGGCAGCTCTACCTACTCTTGACCACCATTTTTCATCTCTGCTAACCCACCCTGACCAAGACTCAGGAGATTAATCCTGAGAGACTAGGCCAATTCTCCATCTAGCTCCTTGCACGGAGGGGAGAAGACATAAGCACTAAGGAGATCCTGTCCCAGGGGCAGGTGGAGACAAAGGAGGGTGCTGGACAGGGCATGTCTGGGCTGGACTGTGTCTCCATTTGGTAAAAACATTGTTCTGTGCAGGCCTGCTGAGCAGACGTGGCCTTCCTGAGCTTCTGTGACTATGGAGGGCCTGATAGAGAGAACACTGGGCCGGGAGCCACGAGGCTTAAATTCTAGCTCAGTGGGACCCCTATCTACTACAATCTGGAGCTAGTAATCTGACCTCTCTGGATTTCAGTTTCAGAATCTGTAAGAAGAGGGGGCTGGGCTAGCAGAATGTTGTTACTGTTGACTTCATTTGGGGCTACCCTGATCTCTGAGAAGATGGGCTGGGCAGCAAGAATCCTTTGGGCCACTGGCCGGGGTCATTGGGCACTACAAAGCATTGCATCATCACTTACCCTATGGTGGAATACAGACTGGGAGGTTCTGGACCTGAGGGGCTCTGGGGTCCTTTCTGAGTTGGATCTAGGATGTGTTCATTCACTAAAGAGTTTGAGCACCCACTGTAGGCGAGATCTTGGGAGTCTAAGGGAAGGTCATCAGGTCCCCCTGGAAAGGCTGTGCTGCCCTGGGGCAGAGGGCCCACGGTCTTCCTTGCAGCTCTACTCCCAATCTCCCTGGGGCCCCAGTCATACGCCCTGCAGGTCAGGTCATGCTGCTTGGTTTTTCACTCCTCCTTCAAAGTAGGCCTCCTTGTCCTCTTCCAGTGTAGCACAGCACCAGCAGATCCCCATCGTATCTAAAGGTGTGAGAAGTGCAGAGGATGGTCCCTGAGGAGACCTCTAGGTCCCCCCAAAAGCCTATCCTCACCCTATCCCTCCCTGGGCCTGCTCAGGGAGGTCGAAATCACTTTAAGAAAATCTTTTCTGCTTTTTCCTTCCTCAAAAAGCATCCAGTCATTGGGGTGGGGTGGGACATCTTCTGCCCCTGGGGAGGAGCAGACAGGTGGGGTATGAGCCTTCTGACATCCCCTCCATGGGCAAGAGAAGTCCCTGCCTCACGGGGACCACCCCGAGCACCGAGGACCCAGGCCACATCCACATCTCAGGTTCTCAGATAGCAGTGGGTGAAGGTGTGGTGGGTGCACCAAGGGGTACCAGGAAGGGAGGGAGAGGATATGGGAGGGAGGACTCCAGGGAGCCCCAGTTCTTGCCCAGCCTCCACCCACACTTCTTTCTGCACTGCAGGAGCCTTCCTGTGAAAGACCTTGCTGTGGACAGCGCCTCTCCAGTATACCAGGCTGTGATTAAGAACCAGAACAAGCCAGAAGACGAGGCTGATGAGTGGGCCCGCCGTTCCTCCAACCTGCAGTCTCGCTCCTTCCGCATCCTGGCCCAGATGACAGGGACGGAATACAGTGAGTGAAGGATGACAAGGGTGGGTGAAGAAGAGCAATGCTGAGGGACCCCAAGGGTGCTGGGTCCTGCTCCACAATCTCAAGGTCCACAGAAGCCAAGGAGTCAAGCCACCTGCCCCCTAAGATGAGCTGACATTGATAGATCATTAGCAGCTGGTGGAGCTCCTTCTGAGCCTCTCTGGTGGGCTGTCCAATGGCTGCTTTCTGTTCCAATCCCTAACTCCAGTCATGGGCAACAAACTTGTCATACAGCTTTCAGGTGACCTGATTGTCCAGGGCTGGGATAAGAGAACCCTGGAGTCCAGGCTCTGACTGCTCCCTTCCCACTGCATCATGCCCTCTCAGCTGTCCCTGGCCCTCTGCCTGCATCACAGACTCTGCTTTCCACTGCTGACAGTCTAGAGGCAGGAAGTGTTCAGGGTCTGGCTGAATCTTGGGTACCCAGAATTCCATTGGCTTATCTTCCTTGTTCCCTATGAGTCCCCTGACCAGCTCCTTTCTATCCACAGTGCAAGACCCTGATGAAGAAGCTCTGCGAAGATCAAGGTAGGTGCCTGGACTCAGGCTCTGTGGCCTTGTCCTCTAACCCCATCCCTCCCCAAGCAGCCCCCAGGTCACATGACTCATGGAAGGAACCTCTCAAGTTCATGTATTTGGAAAGCCCAGTCTGCAAAGGGCTGCTTGGGCAGCCATCCCAGGTTAGTGAGGTGAGTGCCTGGAGCTGAGTCTCTATACCCCCAGGCCCAGGCTGCAGGAGTGAGGACCCTAGGCTCACCTGGCTCTATCCATGGGCAGGGGCAGGGCTGCTTTGGCCTTCTCTGGGCTGTTGAGAATGAGGGCATCTCTCCCTATGAGGGCAGTGGGCCAATGCCTTGTCTGTCCCCTGAGTCTGAAGGCTGGGCACTGGGAGCAGGCACAAAGAGGGCCATGCTGGGCAAGAACACCTGATCCTTGGACTCCCTTGTCCATACCTACATTGAGGCATCAGATCTGTAAATTTCTCGGAGCACGGCAGCTGCACAAAGAAGGACAAGCCCCCAGCATGAGGAGGGGTTTGTGCAGGGCTCAAGGTCTCAGGGCATGGTCTCCTCATCAGTGGCAGGTCTGAGGCCACAGCCACTCACCTACTGTCTGCAGCTTGTCAGGTGCTATACCCCTGAGCATGAGGGGGGCATGCTGCCCTGGAACACTCTGGAACCCATGGATTTCCATGGTGAAGCATGGGGCCCAGTGTGATTATATGATTATGTGTCACTTCCAGTAGCAAATATGTGATCTGCATGCTCTTCCTGAGACAGTCTGCCTTGGGCTAGCACATCCTGTGCCGTCTCTATGTGAGGGGTTGGGGCTCAGAGGCATGCTCCCACCATAAGCCAAACTTTCTGTACTTGCTAACCAGCTCTCAGTGACCACAGGACTTGCAGGGAGTAGGACTCTGGGACCAATTCAGACTTGATATGGATGTTATTGTTCAGCCTGTGTTTTTGCCAACTGCAGTGGCTCCCTCCCTTTTGGCTGGGCCAGATATGCTAAGGATGGCAATGCAGTACCAGAAACTGTTGTTAACCCTTTAGTGCCTGCAATGTGTCTAAACAATGTGAAGTGAGATGATATTTGATTTAGCTCAAAAATTAAAAGCTAGTTACTCTAAGTATGGCTGAGCTTCTAGCTCTCCCCCTTCTCCTTTGTTCTGCTGTCCCTATAGGCTATTTCCCTATTCCTGTGTTTGTCCTACCCTCTTCCTTGAAGTCACCCACATAAATGCTTTGGGGAGCAATGCAGACTTTCCCAGAGATTTGATGGAGGGGTCCTTACATCACACATCATGCAGCAAACAACTTCAGTATCCCCAGGTTCTTACCATCAGGAAGTCAGCAGGTGGCCTTTTTTCTCCCTTCCACAACATACAGAGGCCTGCCTTCCTGGCCCCTGCCACCTCGTTCTGGTCACTTTATGTTCCTCTTCATGCATGGTGGATCATGCTAAGCTTGTGCCTCATTCACCTATCATCTTAATAAGGGGAAGGATACTGGTGACAAGTGATTTCAGCAAACTTTTGTCTTTTCAATTTTCCCCTGGAATATTTGCAGTCTCTACAGAAAGTTATCGAGGCAGTATCAAGGGTGGATCACAGGCCCAGTCCTTGGGTCTCCCCTCCCCTCCTTTCAGAAGTATCTTATTCTGCCATGTCTAGTCCTTCCTCCAGGGACCTGGCCCCGAGCAGAAGGCTGCAGGTCTTAGAACTCTGCTGCAGCTTTCGGGGATACACCACCCCCCCAGCAATCTCCCCCAACCTTAGGGTTTCATCAGAGGCAAATATGGAATGAGGGACCAAGAAGAGGCTCCAACCCAATTCCTCCCTCAGCCCCAGGCAGCTTCTGTGAGCCAGCTCCTCCCCTGGGATCTCAGCCCTGCAGTGGAGACTCTAGGGCACCAGCAAGTCTTCTGCCCATGTCCGAGGGACACAAACCTCCCACTATTCTCCCTTTTCCTGACTAACTTCTGGAGGGTTGTCATGGGCAAAGCCTCCCAAGTTGCTGAATCACAAGCAGCCCATGGACCCAGGCTGGTGGGGGGTGCAGTGAACACAGGAACTCCATTCTGTTTGTAATTAAAACCCTAAGCCATGTAAATAGTTTGTGACCCAAGTGATCATCTGAGCAGAAGGGAGCACTTGTTCCTTTCCTGAGTACAGGTTGGTCAGGGACTTTGCTTCTCATGGGGCTAGTCATGCTTCTAACCATTTCTATTCCCAAGTCCAAAGTTGCATCCCTAGACCCTGCTGACCCGTCCTGTTGGCCAAGAGCAACCATCACTCCTTCTCTTGCCAAATTAGCCCCGCTCCCAGAGCAGATGCTAAGGGTCTCTCCTGAAGGCTGAGTTTCCCCAGGGAGGCTTTGCTGCAAACTGCTGCCAAGTATTTTATTCCAGAAGGACCTGAGTTTGCTAAGCCTGTGCATGGTGACACTCTGTGCTGTCTCGTGTGGTGCAAAAGTTGGTGGGAACATTGAGTGAGTAGTGTAAGGCATTCTGTACCTGGCAGGGATACTGGTGTCAAATTGCATGGCAGGCAAACCTTGCGATCTCTGCTTCTGCTCCACCTCTAAGGCCTGCCCACCCTCAAAGTCCTGGAGCAGACCACAGTTCTGCCCCACCCCCACCCCCTCCTCTCCACTTGGGTCCTGGCTTCCAGTGGTATCTCTGGTGTCTGGTAGAACATAGTTTTCCTTTGAGGCTCCAGTGTCCACCTGCTGGCCAGCCCAAGTTTGAGTCTGATCTCCAAAGACTCTCCAAAGACTATCTCTTTACAGGTAAGGGGAGGAAGGGCAATGAACAACCCAGGCAACAAAGAGCCTATACCTTCAGAAAACATCCAGGCTGGCTTGAATCAGCTTTCTGCATACTTCCCCATAGAAGCTACTCTAGTAGGTGTAGGTGACACAGTTTCACAGCTTCCATCTGAAGCAGCCGAGCACAAATAGTACTTTCATCTCCAAAGTGGAGTCCCTAATCTCAGAGACCACTGCAACTTTCTTATGACTTCAGGAAGGCATCCTGGGACCCTGTGGCTCAGAAGGTTGAGTCCATGATGGCGGGTAGTTGTGATCGGGTTGGGGTGGTAGCAAGCCTGGCTCTGTCTTAGACAAAGCGTGGATCTGTGAGGCATCTGGATTCTGCTGCATGGTTGTAACCATCCTGGAGGCCCTGTGTGTGACCCAGACATCCTTGCCGGAGTCTTGTGGTTTAATTGCCTACAAGTGCAGTCTCTGTCCTGGCTGATGCTCTTCAGGTGCAGAACTCAACAGCTCTCCAATCTCCCAGGCAATAAGGAACAACATTGAGTTTAGTGACAAGTTCCTAGAGAAGTTGAAGGTGAGGGTCACATCACATGTTCCTCCTAAAACAACAAAAATCCCTCCAAGCCTCTTCTTTACCCCATAGTCACTGGGGTTCCCCCCATGCCACTCACCTGCTTCATGCAGAATGTCAGCACTCTGGCTCTTCCCCCTCCTTTCTGTACCCCCTTGGGCACTTCAATGTCCTCTCTGTTCCCCTGTGCAGTCAGTTATCGTCTCTGTCCCAGCTCCAGCCACCAAGCTTTCGTGGCAGGCTCTCATAATGCTAGCACTGCATGGGGCCCTCCCTCCAGAGGGACCCTCTTAAGCAAACAGTTAAAAAAAAAGTTACCTGCAACCTGCATTTTGTACATTTTTAGCTTCTAATACTGTGCCACCCGCAATTTTAAAAGTCATAACTGGAGAGATTAGGACACCCCCAAGTGTTACAGTTTGAGCAGCCTTGGTGGGCTCTCTCTTTCTCTTGTTCTCTCTTTTTCCCTTTCCCATGTGTATTTGTCTTGTTGCTCCTTTCTTCAGCTAGATAAGAATTGCTACACAGCACCAAGCAAGGCAGGCTTACTAGACTCACAGAGGCTCCAGACTATCCCTCACCCTGTCACTGAACCTTCACTGATGGCAAACTGTCACTCAACCTCAGCAGACTTGGCTAGAAATGACAGTTTACAGGCTACTGGCTGCATCTGATTTTGCACCTTTATGTCCTGGGTAGTTTCGATAGCATGGTCATGATTATTCATAGCTATATGAGCTATATGAGCCTTGCCGGAGGGAGGGCTTTCGTTCATAATATCTTTGCCACTTCACCCTGATCTCAGAGAAGCAAGTATGAGGCAAGGGAAGAAGACACCCAGCATTTCATGGTTTTGTTTCTGATTTTCTATATGGCTTTAGACCATTCACATGGACATCTCTAGGCCTTAGTTTCCTCTTAATTTAAGGAAAGGTTGGACTAGACCAGTGGTTTTCAACTCTGTTAGCTGTGATTCCCTTTTGTCAAGTTTTTACACAAAGACCCAATATACAGGGCTGAAGGGGCACAGCAAGAATTTGCCACATGAAGCAGACATGGAAAAATGCACTTCTATAAAAATGGGGATGCAGGGACATGGGAACCAGTAACTGATGACTGTTGCTCTGCAGAAATATAGACCAACACTGCCATATCTTCTGATCTTTAAGTGCCTAAAGTTGACATTCCTGATTCTTTATGTGATAGAAATTCATTTTTTTTAAATTAAGCTTCTGATTCACATGTAATTTTAACAAGTAATACAGAGCTCCCATGTACCTTTTACCTTATTTCCCCCAGTGATAGCATCTTGAAAACTTTACCAAAATATCAATGATATCAGTGACATTGCTGCAGTCAGGACACAAAACATTATGTCACCATAAGACCACTCCTTGTTGCCTTTGCAGAGCCATGCCCACCTGTGCCCACCTCCTCTTAACCCCTAGCAACCACTAATCTGTTACCTGTTCTCCATTCTATCACTTCATCCTTGTCAAGAATGTTATATAAATGAAATCATAGAGTATGTGATCATTTTAGGATTCTTTTCCAAACAGCATAATTCTGGGAATTTATCCAAATTGTTGAGTGTACTATTACTGGTTGAGCATCCCTAATTCAAAAATCCAAAATCTGAAATGCTCCAAAATCTAAAATTTTTGAGCACCAACATG